TTATGTAGTTTATATACTATTTAATTACTATATTTAGCCTTTTACCAATTGTTATAATTGTGTTTGTACTAATAAAATAGTGTCTATAGTATTGAATAATAGACCATCAAAGTGATATGATTGGGGATAATTAAAAAAAAAAAACATATAAGGTCACTTAAAACATAAATTTTTAGGCAGTTAAGCACCCTAGATTTGTGTTCTTCCCAACGAAAGCGGAAAAAGTGCCATTGTTATAATCTAGCAGGCTAATATGTTATTTATAACTAATTGGACATTTTTTTCATACTTTTATTTCTGGAAGACAAAAAATATGACCAGAATAACCTTAAATGATCGTCGAACGACCCATAATATTTGAAGTTCCACATAGGAAATAGTGCTCAATAGAAATCCGTACGTAGTTTCTTATCCCCTGTGTTTTTGGCTAAGATGTCAAAGAACAATTGTTAATAATAATGAAATATTTCATCGCTGAAAATCTGTATTTACAAGTCATTTTATATTCCCCAAATGGCAAAATGAATATTGTTTATGTACATCAAATCTCTATGATAGAGGAAATAAAGTTATATATAGTAGTCTTTAAGTTGGCGGTAATTTAAACTTACACTTGTTGTTATTTTATTAATGAAAAAGATTCATAAATCGACGTAATCAACGTCGACCAATCAGGTCGATGTTTTAAGAAATGCGGAACAACTCGTCCCAGCAACAAGTAGGACCGAGTCTACTGACGGACCATCTAAGAAGACAACTCGGACCGCTTGTCAGATTAACTTAGGGTTTCACAAAATGTAAGACTAACATGTCAAGCGGAGCCATCAATCTTTCATTTGTGCATCGGGGACTATTTAGGGGTATTTTGAGAGGCCTAAAGAAGAGAGGGGTTTACTGTAAAACCCTATGGGATTTTATTTTTTTTAAATTTTCAAATGACTATTTCTTGAAAACAATAAGTGATCGACACACACGGTCTTCAGTAATGAGAACAGGACAATAAAACAAATCAAATAGAATATAGGGTGAGTCCCTGGGTGTCATCCCACCCCCCCTTTCAATTTAAAAATGTGCTTTTATCTTGTAAATGTCGTGATCCCCACCCCTAAACCATATATATACTTGTATGGGACAATAAAACAAATCAAATGAAAATAATTTGGGGGAATCCCCAGTGTCACCTCACCCCCTTCTGTTTGAGAACTTGTAAATGGTCGAGTTCCCCAACCCTAAACCATATATATTCATGTATCAGACAATATAACAAATCAAATGAAATATAGGGGGAGTCCCTGGGGTCACCCCGTCCCCTCCTGTTTAAGAACTTGGAAACGGTCGAGATCCCCACCCCTAAACCATATATATTCATGTATGGGACAATATAACAAATTAAATGAAATATAGGGGGAGTCTCTGGGGTCACCCCACCCCCTCCTGTTTGAGAACATCTAAACAGTCGAGATCCCCCCCCCCCTAAACCATACATATTCATGTATGGGACAATATAACAAATCAAATGAAATATATGGGGAGTCCCTAGGGTCACCCCCACTCCCTCCTGATTGAAAACTTGGAAACGGTCGAGATCCCAACCCCTAAACCATATATATTCATGTATGGGACAATATGACAAATCAAATGAAATATAGGGGGAGTCCCTGGGGTCACCCCACCCCTTCCTGTTTGAGAACTTGTAAACGGCCGAGAAACCAACCCCTAAACCATATATATTCATGTATGGGACAATATAACAAATCAAATGAAATATAGGGAGAGTCCCTGGGGTCACCCCACCCCCTCCTGTTTGAGAACTTGTAAACGGTCGAGATCCCCACTCCTAAACCATATTTATTCCTGTTTGTCATTTCAAAAAGATTTGAAAATACAGGGTCAATCTCTTAGGCGTCACATATGCATATCACTTTACTAGACCAAACCAATGTGTACTGGACTTTGCCCAATGTCAGGCGACCATGGGAATGACGAATTATGAGACTTTTGTTTGGGAGACTTCGTAACAGCATCCTGTTACAATTATTTCTTGTTTATTATAAAATTTTATTGATGCAAAAAATGAGTCTAGGTTAATTGAATTTACTTTAATTATTTTTTTAATTATTTCTTGGCCTATAAAAATTTTCATTTATGGCTCATTTTAAAGAAAACATATAAATCTTTCAAGCCCAAGAATGTTTGACCAACTGTTTTATAATCACCTGTCATTTGATTCCAAACTTGGTATGGAGTGACATCATGGACTTGGGGTGAAGGTGGGGGTTATTTACATTTACAATGGGTGGGTCAGTCAGACCTCACCTTTGATCCCTGTAGAAGTAAACATTTTTCTGATTTGTGTCTCATAATTTTTGTACTGTAGAACCCAAACTCAGTGTTCCTTCCACGGAAGCAAGTCCATTCATATTATTACAAACTCGTACTATGTCAACTTGTACCACTAAAAGTCAACTGGTACCAACGTTAGCTACCAACTAGAACAACTGCAATCATTGCGAACTTGTACCACTGAAGACTCACATTACAAATATACATTGATATATGCGTTGCTTTTGAAAACCTTGATAAAATATTAATTAATTTGCCTTAATAATCAATTCATTAAATAAACATAAATGTACAATATACGAATGTTTAATGTTTGTTCTTTCAAATCTTAAAAAAAAATTTGAAGCAACAGTGCCACAGTTTTCATAATTACGTTTGCCTTCGTTTTTGGTTAACTGCCGAAGCGCTTACAGTGCTTTGATTTAATAAAAGTAACACTTTTGCATATATTAAAGTCCATTTATTGAGGTTCACAATGATATTTTCCCCTTTCCAAGGGAGTGGGGTTGGTGACAAGCATTATACACCCTCTGGGGGCCACTTCCTTTATACAAGGTAATAGGACATTCTGCTGGAATAGGTCATCTTTTCAAGCTTGAAAATATGTGAATAGGTCGGGAAGACTATCAGAAATATATGATGAGGTCAATAAAGTTCCCATAACTTCTTCATCTGTCATCTTTCTTGGTGTTCCTGGCTGTGTTTTTATCAACCAATTTTCTATCTTTTGATAATATGGTATATGTATTCCATTTTTACATTACACACAACAAGAAAACCCAAACAATATGGGAAAAGGTAACATTTTTACCTAAGGAATATATGAAAAGGTATACATTTTTAAAATCTGAATTATATTAAAATGGTGGTGTAACAGAACCCCAGCGGCACCCCCTATCATTTAAGTATTGAAGTCCCCCCAACCTGATTATACACCCAATCTAAATATTTGCCTCTGTCTAGAAGATGAAATAATAGCATGATATGTTGAACTGAAATTTCTTGTATTCTAATCAGATCATGTATCATTTTGAATGAGGTCAGTTGTATATATTAGTTAATTATTATTTTTTCTTTAGATTTGCTAATTTTAGAACGCAGCATGACAGTAGACCAGGTCAGACTGCAGCAGCAGGTGCATACAGAAGGAGGACTAACCCAGTCTACTCATTCAAAGTTGCATGTTTGGACGGCCCTGAATTCACCAGTGTCAGTCCCATGATGATTAGACGCTTGAATAAGTGTGGTTTAGGTATAAATTATTAACTCACTGTTTGGAAAGAAATTACATAAATTCCAATACAAGTAACAAAATTTTACATTAGTGTATGATAATGATCTTTCAAAATAATTGTAATTTTAATCTGAAACACAAGGATTTGACAAAACTGGTATAAACAATTTTAATAGCTGATTTAGTGTTATTTCCAATAGGTTGAAATTTTTACCACAACCTGTGATCCTGTATTGCTTGTTGCCATTTGTGTTTGACATTGCCTTAGCTAGGAAAACAGTGATGCACAGATTTATATTGTTATTTGCAAAAAGAAAGTCAAGAGTTTAGAGTAATAATGTTATATGATTTTAGGTTTGAAGAATTTTACAAATCATATATAGTTAAGAATTTCCATGAAAAAAATACATTGGTAAAAATTAATTTCTCATTTACAGGATCCAGGAAGATTGTAATATCACGGAGTGACTCTGTAATAAACTTTAAGAAGAGAGTCATAGAACTCTTTCCAAAATTGGAAAGGGTTGATTTTGAGTTCTTCCAGGCAAAGTTGAGGGAGAAACACAGACTTGAACAAGTAGTGTTTAATTCCTTAAAGGATCTTAAGGCCAAAGTGAAATTCACCCTCTATATAAAACCTGCACAACAGCTAATCAATGTGAGTACAGTTAACTTGATGTACCTTTTATCTCCTCTAAAGAGCAGGTTTAGATATTGTCTGATAAAAATAAGATTGTGGAATTATTTATTGCCTGTGAGACAACAATACACCAGAAACCAAATGATGTACATGTAGGCAACTATATATATATAAAGGTTACAGTAAAATCTTCAACAATGAGAAAAACACATTCTATTAAATGGGTACTTTTTAACAACTTATATGTGATTGTTTACTTTTCTAATTTATTCAACAAAATTATTTTGTTCAGTCCTGACCAGGGGTGCGAACTTCAACCTTTCATTTTGTAATCAGCATTCCAATTCAGAAAATGACTTATTGGGTTTGAATTAATGTACAAATTAGGGATGTTGACGAGTACTAGAGTATTGCTCTATAGTACCAATTATCGAATACCAAAATGATACTTGACTAATATAATCAGTTTATATTAGAATGTTGTTGCCTTCTTAAATGAAAAATATTTTTATTGAGAGCGCTCGTCCCAGGAAATTAAATATCAAAATTAAATATGTTTCTAATGTTTGCGTTTAATTTTCATTTAAAATTCCCTTGCACAGAGGTAGGCTATGAACCACAAGGATATTTCCAAGTCATACACTTTTAGCTTACCGTGTTTTAGTCATTCGTCTATCTCTGTACCGTCAGAGCAAAATCATTTCATCAGCAGGACTGTAAGCTATGTTACAAAGTTTATTTTGAAATCTATTGTGTCTAAAGGCATATTTTTTTGGTATACCGTAGATTACTGAAGGTGAATCGGATGAAGAAGAGCTTCCACCATTGTTCCCTCCCAGAAGAGAAAGACAATCTGATGATGCTAATTTGACAGTACAAGCGGTAATTTTTAGATCACAGCCTAACAATATGCTATTCCCCAGTTACTAAAAGCAATGTGTTATCCCAAATAACATCTAGAATCATGAAAGCATGTAAATTGAAGCATGATCTGTTAATGTCTTTACTGAATTTTCAACACCTGTAAGTTAAATGTGAAAAACATTAGTGCATAGATAATTATGGAATTCAATTTAGAAAAGTGCAGAATTATTTACTTTAATGAATGCTGTTTAAGTACAAGAGATCATGCATGAAATTTTGTGCTTTCATGTTTGAATATTTTTGAAGTAAAGACGGAATAATGTGTCAATGTGTCCGTTTATTTACATCCTGCTCAAGTTTGAACATGTTATATTCGTATCAAGGTGAGCCATGCAAAATAATTTATTTACATGTTCCATCCTCATTATATATATGCACCTCAACATTATGGACAGTATGGATGAAGACTAAATTGGAGCATAACTTTAACAGTATTTAGTTCAGTTAAATTTTCATAATAAATTAGCAATCTTATTAATGTATAATGATTTTTTATTTTAACTAATACTGAGGATTCATTTATTCTCGTGGGTACTTATTTTCTTGGATTGAGACAAACTTGCATTTTCATGTTTATTTGATTTCGTGGTTTTGCCAATGTCTGCATAAAATCTTATACAAAATTTGTAATTCGTTGAATGTTTGAATTCGTGGTATATCTGTACCCGGGAAACCCACGAAAATTGGTACCTAACGAAAAATAATGAATCCACAGTATAATGAGATCAACTTTAAAACTGAAATTGGTAATAAGCATTTATGTTTGATAACTAAAGAATTGGTTCAATAGTTTATATAGTTATGAACACAGCAATCTTTTTAAATTGACAACACCCGTTTGAAGTCAGCTATAACCATGATAACCATGCACATGCCCTCATCACCTCTATTTCCCCTTGTATAAAAGGGTTTAAATAAAAATATTAACATGAATGGGTAATTTAAAATATAAAACCATGTTCAGTACTTTCTGTTGCATAAGAAACTAATATAAATAAATGTTTCATGGGTCTTTTATACAACTTTATCAATTTTAAGTTTAAAATTAAGTCTACTACAGATTCTTGATTTTATACAGCCACCTTAAAAATAAAATTGCATGTTTCAGATACACTTCAGTTGAAAGCATGAAAGCATGTAAGTAAATAGAAAACTAACAAAATAGTATGCAATTTACAACAGATTATATTTCCTAATACCAAAGAAACAGAGTATATTACAGTCATATTGGAAACTTGTAAAGTGCATGATACTGAAAAGTAGTAGTCTCCATAGTTAATCTTTAAACTTTAGTGACAGGTTTGCAATTCAAAACAAATACTTTTTAAGATGAATTTCAGGTCAAACATGATTTTATTAACCCAGCCATATTGGAATCATATGTTCTCTCAGGATTTTAAGACAGTGCAAACAAATGAATTAATGAATTCTGTCTTCTTTTATTCTGCAGTCAACATCTGACACACCAGATTCGCCAATAAGTCGCCAGAGAAATAGTACACTGTCTCAACCAGGTACCAGTGGAGCAAGTGTAAGTGAAAACTAGAACTGCTGTGTAAAATTGATAACTTCAACTTATTTTTTGGAGGTAATGACACCCTGTTGATTAAAAATATTTACTTATAGTGTCAGTACCAATAAGTTTTATGCAAAGATTTGATTAAGGAATTTGGTTCATAATGTTTTTGCGAGAATTTTGTCTTCCACACATCATCATGGGCTACTTGAATACTTTGAAGGTATATTATAAGTCCATGAAACTTATGTTTAATAAAAAAAAGTAGGGAATTTCATTAACCATATGTTCATTTATCACATGTTTTATTTTTGTAGACAACCGTTACATCTGAGAGGTCAAATTCCTCATCCACTCAAATAACCAGTACATTGTCCTCACCTGGTAGAAATAGAGCAACTGTAAGTTACTTGGAATGCTCTTTATAATTATAACTTGAAACTAGTTTCTGGTATGATAATCTGTTCACACATAAAGGCAACACAACACCATTTTCATTTGTTGTTCTGCAGATGTTTTGAAGATAACAATTAGTGCAAGCAGATGCAACTTTCTATAGAAGTTTGCTGCTGGAAATCACACTTTTAATATAAAGCAAACTCCAAATCAAAATTAAAAATGTTAGAAATAAAACTTTCTTTTTCAGAATTATTCAACAAAATTACTATGGACTAAATTATCATTTGACAAAACCCATTTTAAGGGGAGACAAATTAAATAAAGTGTTAGCATGTTCTATCTAACTTTTTAATTCAGGGGATGTGGTATGAATGCCAATCAGATAACTATCATGAAGACTTAATAAGAAAGTAGATTTGTAGCCAGCAGCATGCTTTACAATTCCGTGAAATTAAATGTCTACTAATAAAATTGAGAATGGAAATGGGGAATGTGTCAAAGAGACAACAACCCGACCATAGAACAGACAACAGCAGAAGGTCACCAACAGGTCTTCAATGCAGCGAGAAATTCCCGCACCCGGAGGCGTCCTTCAGCTGGCCCCCAAACAAATATATATACTAGTTCAATGATAATGAACGACCTACTAAACTCCAAATTGTACACAAGAAACTAAAATTAAAAATAATACAAGACTGACAAAGGCTAGAGGCTCCTGACTTGGGACAGGCGCAGAAATGTGGCGGGGTTAAACATGTTTATGAGATCTCAACCCTCCCCCTATACCTCTAGCCAATGTAGAAAAGTAAACGCATAACAATACGCACATTAAAATTCAGTTCAAGAGGTATTGATTCAAATTATTGTCAATAATAGTTCATGTTCCAATCAGTTTATTGTACTGCAAAAAAAAATTGTGTTTGCTCTTTGAAAACAATGAAGAGATATTTATCTTTTGCATTGTAGGTAGCCCTGGAAGGCTCCAACACACCATCATCAAGAAGAGGCAGAGCCCTATCATCTCCCAGGGTGGTTGCAAGTAGATCAAATGTGAGTTAAAAACTTCATGTCAAATTTGGCTAGCTAAAATACTACTTTTGTTTAAATATACTTTACCAAGTACATGTATCATTAAATATACAATAGAAACATCCACAAATGAAAATTTTAAAATTAAAACTGTAAAATATTAAAGTCATATGAAATCATTTACGTGAAATTTTAATGTTATAGAAATCATTGAATCATTGAAGTCCTGTATGCACATTTTTCATATTTATTACAAACTATAACATGTTATCAACAAATAATACTTCATTCAGTGACTGTTGATCGCTGCGAAGCTTATAAACTTTCTAGTTTGTTGGCAAAGTTAACATGATCATGATATTTATCAACCAATGTAGAGCATGTGGGGCATGTGACGTATAAGTGAATTTAATTTTTTCTTTATATATTTTCCATCCATTTTCGTTTGTTCATAAAAGTTTTCCTTAACAGTCGTTAAATGATGTGTTGTATTAAATTTATTCTTTAAGAAAAAGATATGACTATTTTCCTGCATTCTTGTTTACATTCTTTCACCGTTTTCCCTACTCACTTGCCCTGTGTCATGATTATTTTATAGAGAAACTTTAAAATATATACAGAACTTCTATATTTTTTTCTTTGCTCTTTTTCAGGTAAGTGAAACTACAACTCAAGCCTATCATACTGCTGGTACTTCAACAACCTATTCCGATCAACTGCAGTTCCAACATTCACAGAACAAACAGCAACTGGACAATATGAACAACTGTCTACACCAGTCAACCCTCTGTCATTAATGGATGTTACAAGGTATTGATATTGAAATGAAGAGATAATGAATTAATGTATGTGAGACATTGATCCTACAAACATGAATTCAGTTATTACACATTTGAAAAGTAGTATGTCCCATATCAGGGTCTTACAATTCAGTGGTTGCTGTTTGTTGCTGTACATCATATTTGTAACTTGTTCATTAATGTTTTTTAGATAAATCAGGCCATTAGTTTGAATTTTTTTTTACATTTTTTGTTTCAAGACCTTTTACAGCTGACTATGTAGTATGGGTTTTGTTGTTTGCATTGTTGAAGACCGTATGATGACCTATAATTGTTAACTTCTATGTTAATTAGTCTCTGGTGGAGAGTTGTCTCATTGGCAATTATACATTTTTGTATCACATCTTATTTTATATCAAGAAAAAAATGAGATCAAGTATTACACGGGAATTTATATATTAGTTAGAATATGTTTGCATCTTGCACATAAATAGTTAAGCATTTTTTTGTGTGTTTCAGGGATTTGGCTGTAGATGTAAACAATATCAATGCAATTTTTGAAGACATCCCAGAGGTTGGACTATTTGGAGACATTGGGTAAAATTGATATTTGACAAAACCAAATAATTATAATAGCATTAAGATGAAGGTCAATCTTTGTTTTTGTCCTTGAAACTTCCCTCTGTTCACTTTCTTTTGTGTTCATGCTCTGACTTTTGATCAAGATATCCTGTTTTTAGGAAGATTACATATCATGTTTGGAAGGATTTTGATGGACCTGGTACTTGCCTCATCAATTTCTGATATAATAATACCAAAAGAACAAATTTGCCTGATTTTCAGGAAAACATGTAGATCATACTAAAACAGATAAATTTACATTGTGTTGGTTATTCTACCATTATCATTTAACCTGAAAAAGGCAAAAACATTTGTTTAAAGTTAATTTGCAATTGCATTTTGAATGCTCTGTTCCAAATTGAATTCTCCAAACTTAAGTGTGAATGTTTAAAATTCCAGGTGAAAAATATTTTAAAGGTTTTTGTTTTGCCTGCGACGAAATTGGCAGTATTAGAGACCTATGGATAACTGTCTTGGGGCAGTGCTGTAAACTATTTGTATAAAGTCTTATATTTCTGAAGGACAATGACCTCGATGCTTTATACCTTGTATGCAGATACCTTATGTTACGAAGTTATGTTACACCTTTTGGTAACAGCACATTTTGGATTGTAGGTTAAGGCAAAGCTTGTAAATATGATACTAGTACTACACAAAATTGTACAAACTAATCTTCAAATACTAGAGTTTTATGTTTGTACAATGTACATGTATTGTTGCTCAAGAGGAAAGTGCTTTCATTAGAAAGAAATTTTTGAAAGATATGAAAGTGATATTCAAAAGACAGTTTGCTGTAAAATGACATCTGAAAGTGATTTTTTTTATTATTTTTAGGCAAAATGAGTGTACAGAAAATTTCAGAAAAAAAATTAAAGAACATAAGGAATTGTTCATCCACAATGACTCGGATGACCCATTACTGATGGAGGTGATAAGGGAAAATCCTGTGCAGGATTCCTTGGCCTTCATCAGTATCAGTCGAGATGATCTGCACAGCCCACTAAGGATATCTTTCACTGATGAGGACGGTGTTGATCTTGGGGGATTGAGACGGGAATTTTGGAGTCTCTTTCTCCACAAGATAACTTCAATAGTTCTGTATTTGTTACAGGTATGCCAAAATTAATATTGATTGAATAAACATTAGTTTTTAAATGATAAATTCACAAAGAGGTTAATTACTTTTACAGTTAAGATATTTTGCCATCTTTCATTTGAACATTTTAAGTTTTCTGTGCTAAACTTTGGTTGCATATATGCAATCTAAATTGTTTAAACCTAGATTGGGATTGAATTGAAAATTTGAATCACAAATATTCTTAAATAGGGACCAAAGAGGGCCTGTGTGTAAATTTTTTAGAATTTCAAAGAAAAATACACAAATATATCAAATTATAAAATTTTGTTGTATGAAAATTTTTAAAATATCTTTTATTTTGACCTGCATTTTAATCTGGTTATATTTGGTCTGATGTGCGCTTGGATTGACAGTTTTGAAACATTTGGCATATAGCAAAATTACTATTATTCAGGTCTATTATATTACCAATGTTATAAGATAATGTCTTTTTTAACGATTTTAATGATCAAAGACATTGGATGAATCAATGCAAAGTTCCTGTACAGCATTGTTTGTATTACTGAAACAGCTAATGTTAACTTTAATGATTTAGAATCCCATTGAACTTCTCATATAATTACATACACCACAATTACAACTGCTTAATATTGCCCTCAAGAGATTCAGCGATTGTATTAAGAGCAGTATAATGTTTCAACCATATTGTTAGTATGATTTTGGTACTTTGTACAATTTCAGGAAAACCAGGACGCCAAACCTTGCGTGACAACTTTATTGCAAGGACCCAGAATATTTTTTTCCATCTGGGACAGCTGGTCGCCTTATCCATCATTCAAGATGGGCCAGGTCTTCCCATCTTTAGTGATATAGTTACAGACTATATCTTGCTTGGGAAACCCTGTATTTTAAATGTAGATGATTTGCCAGAGGGTTTAAAGAATACCATTGTCATGGTAAGTTTTCTATTCATATTTTCGTAAAATGAAGATGGGGTGTGAATATTGTATAAATAAGCTTGAACAAAAAATCTGAATGTAATAAAGGAAAAGAAAAAAAAATTTCAGCATCATATTTTTAAAAAATTTATTAAATCTCAATTCATAATCTCATGTTCCATAACCTTTATGGAATACCAGTAACTGTTGCAATAAATTATTATTTGATTTTCATATAATACTCTTTTTTTTGTTCCATCATTTTTGTAAATTAAACTTAACCCTTCATTGGACAGGTTACTTAGCCAGTCCCATTAAAAAAATACAAAGTTTTTTGTTAACTTAAATAGATTGTCTGATTGTTGATGAAAGTGGCCGGGTTTTTATTTTTTTGGGGGGGGGGGTTAAAATAATACGTAATTCCAATAAAAACAGATAACACTACTGCAAAAAAAGGATTTAGATGAACTTTCAACTAAAAATTAGAGATTGCACAACATGAACACAACAAAAAGCTGGTAAGATTGAAGTCTCCTTTTCAAAGACTGCATACATTAATTTGCTCTTTCATGTACAAGTTCTTATTATACCCCACGCAACGAGTTGCAGAGGGTATAATGTTTTTGACCCGTCCGTCCGTCTGTCCGTCCATCAGTCCGTCAGTCCTGTTTCTTGTCATCTCAACTCCTCTCAAACCACACAACAGAATTTCATGAAAACTTTTCAGATAATAAGGACATACTACGTAGATGTGCATATCAACAGAAAATTACGATTCAATTTTTTTTCCAGGAGTTACGCCCCTTTGAACTTATTTGCCCAATATACTACTGCAACGGTTTGTCATCGCAACTCCTCTGAAACCACTAAACAGAATTTCATGAAAACTTTTTAGATAATAAGGACATACTATGTAGATGTGCATATCGACAGGAAATTATGATTCAATTTTTTTTCCAGGAGTTACGCCCCTTTGAACTTATTTGCTTCAATATACTACTGCAACGGTTTGTCATCGCAACTTCTCTGAAACCACTAAACAGAATTTCATGAAACCTTTTTAGATAATAAGGACATACTATGTAGATGTGCATATCAACAGGAAATTATGATTCAATTTTTTTTCTTGGAGTTACGCCTCTTTGAACTTATTTGCTTCAATATACTACTGAACGGTTTGTCATCGCAACTCCTCTAAAACCACTAAACAGAATTTCATGAAACCTTTTTAGATAATAAGGACATACTATGTAGATGTGCATATCGACAGGAAATTATGATTCAATATTTTTTCTTGGAGTTACGCCCCTTTGAACTTATTTGCTTCAATATACTTCTGCAAGAGTTTGTCATCGCAACTCCTCTTAAACCACACAACAGAATTTCATTAAACTTTGTAGATAATAAGGACATACTACGTAGATGTGCATATGGACAGGAAATTATGATTCAATTTTTTTTTCTTATACAATTTTTCTTTAATTTTAATTTTGTATCTCCTAACTGCAACTATAAATTCTATTAACATTTCTTTCACATGCAAGATTGCACTTCAGAACCGGACCTACAGAATATGTACTCTGGTATATTTGATGAAGCTGTCGATGCCGGATTTATAATTCCACCTTCATCATTTAAAAAAAAACATGTAAACATCCTTCTGGCTGCGTTATTGGAGACCCAACTTAACAAGTGTAAGAAAGAACTTGATCAGTTTATCAAAGGTATTTAACATTGGTTTATGACATATCTAAAGTATGCAGTATAATTTGGTATGACACTTGTTCTAAGCTTATTGGTTCATATTCCTATATTGCAGGCATTCTTAACTGAACTAGGTTTTCACTGAGCTAGTACACATTTTTTGCTTAAGGGGCCAGCTGAAGCCTGCCTCTGAGTGTGGGATTTTCTCGCTGTATTGACGACCCTTTGGTGACCTTTGGCTGTAATCTGCTCTTTGGTCGGGTTGTTGTCTCTTTGACACATTTCCATTCTCAATTTTGTTCTTAATATCTGGATAATGCTTCTATTATAGAAATATGTCTTGATTTGATTTAGGGCTTAGTGTAATATCAGTGATAGTGCTTTTAGTTCCTGAACATTTTTAGAAAATCTTTTGTTGAACAACTGGTAGAGAAGTTTTTCCAAAAATAATAAGTTTCAATATGACCATAATATTTTGTATATTGAGATCTGATTGTCTTTCTTGATTTGAAAGAAATGATTTTAGGGCGCAACCCAGTTGAACAATTAAGGTTAAATTGAGACTGTGCTCAACTATTTTTAAAAGTAGCATAATTTGGGTCTTTGTCAAATTTTCATGTTCACGATGGTATTAATTTTTCTTTTTCAGGCCCCTCCTATGATAGGAGAGGGGTATGATACTTTCTGGTTTGTGCACATCAGCTGTTATTTCTTTTGTCCATCAATCTGTCTTTTATATGTGAACATTTTTCACCAATTCAGTTAACCATAAAGTTTAGTCACTTTAACTTGAAAGAAATTTTCTTTGCAAATTCCCAGAAAAAATGTTTGCCCTATTTTTACTGTTAACAATGAACATTGAAATGGGATAGTCTGAAACCATTACATACATAATTGTCTGGTTAAAGGTTATTGTTGAGGTAATATATCTATAAGTTGTTGTCACGTCAACTTGAAAGTGGGAGCAGGGAATGATGTTCTATAATCACATATTCTTGTTTGAATTCCTATTTATGAAAATACATTAAGAGAGATGCCAATTAGTTACAAAACAAAATGGAATAACCTTCTGTTTTATGTCAGACTGATAAACATGCATATAATATGTATTTTAGAGAATATTTGATACTTATGAAGTTTTCTGGAAGTTTTCATGATCTAAATATTTTTTAAACAGGATTAGACACTCACCAAGTTTTGAGCCTGTTAAAACAGGATGTCAACATTGCCTGTGCTAGGACACTGTTCAGTGGAAGAGTCAAACCTTTAACAGTCCAAACATTAAGAAACCTGTTGAAGTTCAAGTACGATACAGGGAATGCTGCCTTAGACCAAAGGGCAACAAGTCAAGGATTTTTAACATTTCTTCAGGCCACTAAAGGTTAGTATTTAGAGCTAAACCAATTTATTGACATACAGCATGATCAGACGATATTGATTTGATATTTGGTATATATAGTTTCATCATGACCAGTTACAGATCAAGTTCAAATTTTATTTGGTTCAGATGTTTGTTTTTCAGTGTTATGAGTTTGAAATTTCTATTGACACTAAGCACATATAAATGATTTATAGCACAGATTTCTTTGAAAAGTGATGTACTCAATGTTCAAAATGATTCCAATTTTATTTTAAAAATTGGAAAGAATCGAGAAGGCAGATTTGAATATAATTAAGATTTTAAATGGACAAATAATTAATTTAAGAAAGACATTCATTGTTTTAAAACACGTTCTTATGAACTACCAAAAACAAGAGTGTGATATGGGAAACATTACTTCCCCCCACAATATCTATTCAGATGTAATGATCAGGAGTTTTTGGTTCTTCAGCAATTTCAAATTTGCTGTTAATTATGTATGTTATAACATGGTCAGTAGATAAAGATTTTTTTTTTAAACAGGAACATCAACTGTTATAAATGGAATTGATATTGGTCCAAAGGAAGTCTTGATGTGGTTGACAGGGTCAACAGCAATTCCAGCAATAGGCTTTCACAAGCCAATAGATGTATGTTTCGGAAGCAGGACATTTGTAAACACCTGCGCCTTGGCATTGACCTTGGAGGTTAGACCTGAACTTGCCCCAGCTGAAGCTGTCAAGTTTTACAGCGAGATCATAATCAACAGCCAGACATTTATCCAAGAATGATATAAATTTTAATTTTGGCCATCAGTCTCTGTCCTTGAAAACTTATAAATTGTATTGTGTGAAAGCTAATTTTGATTATTTAAGGAATGATTGTAGCGGGTTATTTTAAAGTGTGCACCACATTTTTTATGTTATTTGGAATAGACCATTTACAAAGACCTGAAATGAAAGTTTTATAGTTCTCCATGAAAAGGGAACAAATTTGACCCTGGAAATTATAAGGGTGATTCCATTAATTCTTACTTTGGCAAGCTGTTAATAAATTTTTATCTTTAACAGACAAATTAATTCTATAAAAAGTCAAATCTTAATCAACAAATATCAGATAAGTTTAAAAAAAATTGTTGCACTAAAATCAGTAGTTGATCATTATAAACAACAAAGTTAATATTTGCAGCTTTTATCGATCTTAAAAAGTCTTTGATACAGTTTGGCGAATAGGATTGTTTAATAAACTTTTGATACATGATATTCCAAATAGAATTTTTAGAATTGTTTATTCAATATTTACTGACTTAGTATGCAGAATCAAGTTCTCAAATGGACTCAGTTCAGCATTTCTATCTGAGCTAGGAGTAAAACAAGGAGATGTACTGAGCCCTGTACTTTTTAATTATTATATTATTGACCTCACTAATGCTTTAATCAATTGTAATTCTGATTCAGTTGTAATTGGGGATTTTTCTTAAAATATTCTTCTATATGCAGATGATATTGCTTTATTGTCTCAAATTAAAAAAAGGGCTACAAAACAGTCTTTATTTCTGTGTCATTTGGTCTCTTATGGAGAGTTATCTCATGGGCAATCATACCACATCTTCTTTTTAGCTCACCTGGCCGGAAGGGCGAAGTGAGCTTGTCTCATCACTTGGCATCTGTCGTCTGTCGTCCATCGTCTGTTAACTTTTACAAAAATCTTCTCCTCTGAAACTACTAGGCCAAATGAAACCAAACTTGTCCACAATCATCATTGGGGTATCGAGTTAAAAAATTTGTCCGATGACCCGGCCAACCCAACAAGATGGCTGCCACGGATAAAAATAGAACATAGGGGTAAAATGTAGATTTTGGCTTATATCTCTGAAACCAAGGCATTTAAAGCAAATCTGACATGGTATAAAATTAATTATCAGGTAAAAATTTATCTGCTCAGAAACTTTCAGACGAATCTGAAAACCCGTTGTTGGGTTGCTGCCCCTGAATTGGTAATTTTAAGGAAATTTTGCAATTTTTGGTTATTATCTTGAATATTATTATAGATAAAGATAAACTGTAAACAGTAAAAATGTTCAGCAAAGTAAGATCTACAAATAGGTTGACATGAACAACATGGTCATTTGACCCCTTAAGGAGTTACTATCCTTTATAGTAAATTTTTAAAAACATTTTGTAAATTTTTGTAATCTTTCAAAAAACTTCTCCTCTGAAACTACTGAGACCAATTTATCCAAACTTGGTCACAATCATTATTAGGGTATCTAGTTTAAAAAATGTATCTGATGACCTTGCCTGCCAACCAACTAAAAAAAAACATAGGGGAAAAATGCAGTTTTTGACTTATATCTCTGAAACTAAAGCAAAAGTATAACAGTTGCATTATTTCATGCATCAATTGTAAATAAAAATATCAGGTGAGCGACACAGGCTCCTGGAGCCTCTAGTTTATATTTATGCTTTACATGATAATTGTAACTGTTGGAAGCTACAAGTTAAAACGGATAAGTCCAAAGTTATTGTTTTTAATTCAATTGGTAAACCTTTTTTTTTGACAAATTTCTTATAATGATTCTTGTGTTGAAACTGTTACTGTACTCATTATTCTTATTTTATTGTAATAAAATGTAATGGTTATTTCAATATAGCCATTGATACTGTTGAGGAAAAGGCATAAAAAGCCTACTTCAAAAAAAAGAAAACCGTTGGTCTGAATAACCCATGTAGAATTCTTGAAAAATTGTTTGATTTATTTATATCACCCATACTTAGGTACTGTTGTGAAATTTGGGTTGTTTACTCATTCTAAAGGGACTCTGAACCCTTTAAAAAATTACACATTATATTTATCAAAGAAGCATTTCAAGGCTTCATGTGATGCTTGTTGTGCTGAGCTTGGTCCAATTCCACTCAAATGTAAGATTGTCTTTTCAAGCATAAATTTTTAGGAACATATAACTTTTTTCCAAAAATACACATGTAAATTAAATTTTCTGTGCTACTGGGTTTTCAAATCCCTGGATTAACAAAACCAAAAATATTTTACAAAATTTAAGATATTCATATCTTGTAGATAAAAGTTGTTTAACAAAAAGCACTTAGGACAAGTAAATCAAGGAATTTATGATCAGTGCTTGCAAAATCAATTTGCAAATATACCAGAATCTTCTAATCTTAATTTCTTTCTTAAAATCTACACAATGTGTCAAACATTATCATATGTTGATATATTAAACAAATTTGAATGATACTGTCCTGTATGTGATAATGGGAAAATTGAAGATGAAAAACATTTTTAATTACAATATGATACATTTACCTCAAAAAGAGAACTATTACAAAATAAAATAAGTGTTTTATTTAAAATATAGCGTAAAAAACATTAACAATGTTAAAAAGGATATGTCTATTGGTAGACAATAGCTCAGCATTATTGAGTAAACATAAGGAATAGTGAAATATCAATATGTAACTTTTCATTCTGTCATGATGTATTTACATGTAACTTTTCATTCTATCATGTCAATTATTATAATTATCTATAGCAATAGGTCTTAACCATTTATTGTTAATGAGTTTGGGTCAATAAAATATATGTATTTGTGAAGCGAGGGCATACAATACAGTTTCGATCCCATGATTTTGACAAAAATTTCTTTTCCTTCAATCTTTTTTTCACCTTAGCAATCCAAATATGTAATAACAAATATATACCTTCATGTGATACTTTAATAGGATAATTGGGGTTAATATTTTTGACATTTACTTAAAATTTTGTTTTTTTTTACATTTCTATCCTTTGGATTGACATACATGTACCTTAATTTTTTGTTTTAAAAGATAAACACAAGTGGATTTTTGTAAAAACATTTGGAAAAATCTTCTTTACATAAGTATGCTTTAGATTTGTGTAACAATTGTTTGGAAAGAAATAGTTTTTATACGACCGCAAAAAATTTTGTGGTCGTATATTGGTATGACGTTGGCGTCGTCGTCGTCGTCCGGCGTCGTCGTCCGAAGACACATTGGTTTTCGCACTCTAACTTTAGTTTAAGTGAATGGATCTTTTTGAAATTTGACTATAAGGTTAAATACCACAAAAGGAAGGTTGGGATTGATTTTGGGGGTTATGGAACCAACAGTTAAGGAATTAGGGGCCAAAAAGGGGCCAAAAATAAGCATTTTCTAGTTTCCAGACAATAACTGTGGAACGGTGTATGGATCTCTCTGAAATTATACTACAAGTTTCCATACCACAAAGGGATGGTTAGGATTTGCTTTGGGGGGTTATGGCTCAAACCGTTTAGGAATTAGGGGCAAAAAAGGGGGAAAAACAAGGTTGTCCTGGTTAATGGACAAATACTTTAGTACAAAACATAATTTAAAGCAGTGTAAGGGAGATAAATCAAATACATCATTGAAATTATCTCCCTTACACTGCTTTTAAATTATGTATAAAGTAATGGTTAATGAACAATAAAGATAATTTAAAACAGTGTAAGGGAGGTAATCCAAATACAACGTTTTGGTTACTTCCCTTACACTGCTTTTAAATTATGTTTCAAGAAATGCATATTTATAAAGGAAGACCAGTAAAAATATCTGCAAAGGTTGCATCTTTTTTTTTTACAAAAAAATCCATATGAAAGATTTGACACTATATTTTTAATTCTATTATAAAATAGATTAAGTTAGCACTATGGTAAATTTAAATGGGTAATTATGGTTGCCAACTCCATTGGAAATTTGAATTGAGATTATGACCATATCTTGAGGGAAAGAATTTTTTTGGGGGAAAAAAGGGGGGGGGATAAAAAGAAATTATGGGGGGTCAATTTTTTCTCATTTCAGATTTCAGAAATTAAAAAGAATTATTCTTCAAATATTATTTTTTTTTCAAATTTCAAATATTGAAAAATTTCAAGAAGTAATCTTTAATTGCACAGTATGGCGCATTAGATTTGTAAAATCTTTGATCACATTTATTTATTTGTTATGCTGAATCTAACAGTGTATTAAGATTTTTAATTTTGGGTCCAGTTTTCAAATTGATCTACATTGAGGTCCAAAGGGTCCAAAATTAAACTTTGTTTGGTTTTAGCAAAAATTGAATATATGAGGTTCTTTGATATGCTGAATCTAAACATGTATTTAGATTTTTGATTTTTGGCCCAGTTTTCAAGTTGGTCCAAATTGGGGTCCAAAATTACACTTTGTTTGATTTCAACAAAAATTGAATATATGGGGTTCTTTGATATGCTGAATCTAACCATGTATTTAGATTTTTTATTTGTGGACCCCGTTATCAAATTGGTTCATATTGAGGTCAAAAGGGTCCAAAATTAAACTTTGTTTGATTTCATCTAAAATTGAATTATTGGGGTGCTTTGATATTCCAAATCTAACCGTGTATTTAGATTTTTAATTTTGGGTCCTGTTTTTTAAATTGGTCTACATTAAGGTCCAAAGGGTCCAAAATTAAACTTAGTTTGATTTTAACAAAAAATAAATTCTTGGGGTTCTTTGATATGCTGAATCTAAACATGTGTTTAGATTTTTGATTATGGGCCCAGTTTTCAAGTTGGTCCAAGATAGGGTCCAGTATTTAAACTTGTTTGATTTCAACAAAAATTGAATATATGGGGTTCTTTGATATGCTGAATCTAAACATGTATTTAGATTTTTGATTATGGGCCCAGCTTTTAAGTTGGTCCAAATTGGGGTCCAAAATTAAACATTGTTTGATTTCAACAAAAATTGAATATATGGGGTTCTTTGATATGCTGAATCTAACCATGTATTTAGATTTTTTATTTGTGGGCCCTGCTATCAAATTGGTTCATATTGAGGTCAAAAGGGTCCAAAATTAAACTTTGTTTGATTTCATCAAAAAATGAATTATTGGGGTTCTTTGATATTCCAAATCTAACCGTGTATTTAGATTTTTAATTTTAAGTCCCGTTTTTTAAATTGGTCTACATTGAGGTCCAAAGGGTCCAAAATTAAACTTAGTTTAATTTTGGCAAAAATTGAATTCTTGGGATTCTTTGATATGCTGAATCTAAACAGATTTTTTATTATGGGCCCAGTTTTCAAGTTTGTCCAAGTTGGGGTCCAAAATTAAACTTTGTTTGATTTTAACAAAAATTGAATATATCGGGTTCTTTGATATGCTGAATCTAACCATGTATTTTGATTTTGGACATTGGACCATAATAGGTAAATTAAAAAAAATCAAGTTCTTAGACCACATTCTTTCTGTGTCAGAAACCTATGCTGTGTCAAATATTTAATAACAATCCAAATTCAGAGCTGTATCAAGCTTGAATGTTGTGTCCATACTTGCCCCAACTGTTCAGGGTTCGACCTCTGCGGTCGTATCAAGCTGAGCCCCAGCGAAGCATTTTATTATCAAAGTTTCAGGATCATTGAAAAAAACATTTTTAGCTGTATATTTATCTAATTTTATAAAAAAATATTGTTGACTTTTTCATAAAAATTGGTACAAAAAATCTTCATACATATTGAAACCAAATGTCATTTTAAAAAAGAGGGGTCCATGAACTCGTTTTCAAGTTAAATCAGTATGAATGATAAAAATCAGTCTAAAAACGCATCTTTTCCCTATATGTCACAGTTTGAAAAAACAAATTGAACTACACCTATTTAATCAGTTACTGAAGATATAGGTTCCCTCTGATCTGAATTTAATGATTCAATGAATAATAAAACATCCTTGTATAACTGAATACCATGAGTTAATTTTTTATAGTCTTCGGTTAAATTTATCCTGTCTCTCAGCTGTTGCATATCACCATCATCTAAAGGGCTATGAATCCGTGGTAATTCAATTTCATCAAAACTGTTATCTTCATGATCAGAGTTATTATCCTCTATTCCATAGTCATCTGTGATATGTTCTAGAGAGTCGTTACTACCTGCCTGTAACAACAGGTCAGCAATTGAAACATTGTTTGTACTTATTGTTTGTAAAACTCCCTTTATAAATAACTGATAAGGAGTTTTGCTTCCCTCTGTACTTAAGCCGTGATGATTATGCTGGTATACAAACATTTGAAGTGACTTGTTTATTCTTGGTAAAAAAACATATTGGAATGCCCACAATTGGCGTGCACATGTGATGTCTAACATGTAGATATCTTCCATGTATGAAAATAAATCATAGTATTCATTAGATACAGACTCCCAAAGATCAACCCATAATCTTTCAATTCTTTGGTTATGGGCGCTTTTGCCTTTTATTGCACTACCTCTATTTGTACCACGATAACCTTCCATGAAGGTGCATATATCTACATTTTCACCGCCATGATCCACTCTGATACGGGAAGGAACTCTATGTTGTGTAGTGGCCTCAATAAAAAGATCATACACTGTGGTTGACTGGTTATTATTGCTGGCATGTAAAAAAGTAACAAGGCGACTGTAGCCATCAACATGATCAATACCACCATGGATAACAATATTCCACCTAAATTAAAAAAAAAACCAAGGAGATGCCATGAAAAGTCCAAATCTAATTTATTAAAACATATATTTATATTTATAAAAAATTAAAACTATAAACATGTGATAATGCAGCCATAGTCTAACACTAAATGATACACTAGGAATGATAAATGTATTTTGAAAAAGGTTTTGATATGGACATTATTATAGGAAGCAAGACAACTCACCCCACACCAAATCGTGCCACCTTTGCACCACTCATTCCACTTCATCCTACTCCACCACTCTTGTTTGCCAACTCATACGGACTTATGAAAAGTATCCAAATCCCCACGAATTCACTACTGACAAATGAATATTATTCTTTTTTCATAAGTAGAGTGAGTTGACAGACCTTTATTCATCGGGATTATACCATTTATCTAAAGAGGCAATTTTGTAGTGGGGAGAGTTGTCATGGATTCATATATATTAGTTTAAAAAATGTGTCCGACTGCCAACCAAGATGGCTGACATGGCTAAAAATAGAACATGAGTAAAATGCAAGGTTTGTCTATTATTTCGACCGTTATAAAAAGAGAAAATCTGACAGGGCAAAAATGTTCAGAATGATGAGCTCTACCTATTGTCCATAATACGTCAAAACTATCAGACGACTTCTTAGAAGTTATTTCCCTTAAATGAAAAATTTTACCATTTTTGTTCATTTTTGCTATTATCTTGAAAACTATATAAGTAGATACATGTATAGAGAAACTTTAAATTGCAAATTCAGCATGACATGTTCTACAACTAAACTTGCATGGTCCAAATCGTAAGTCGACTTCTCATTAGAGTTATAACCCTTTGATGAAAATTTTTACCGATTTTATGTGTTATTGCAGTAGGGACGACATCAAAAGTTCAATGAAGGACAAAAAACTTTATTCACATAGTTTTTTCACTGAACCCCACCACCTTCCCCCCAACCTATTTGAATTCAGTTTTTTATCCTACATTGATGTTTTGATGTCGTCCCTTATACCTTAAAAATTTTAATAGACAGATAGAAACTCAAATAAGCAAAAATGATCAGAGAGACAAAATCTATAATTAAGACGATATGGGGGAAATTGTCCTTATTGGAATTATTGCCCTTTGATGACGATTTTACATTTTATTTTTGCGTTTTGCCTGATATGTTAAAAAATATAATTCACTTAAATATGAGGGCATGTTCTACTACATGTAACATGTTTAAAGTTTGCAGATATAATTAGGAGACTGTCATTCTTCGTAGGAGTGATTACCCTTAAATGAACTTTTTCTTTAATTTCGGGATTTGAGCAAAAATTAAAGAAGAAAAAGGGACACTAATTAAACTTAATGATCAGCAATACAAGATCAACAAAACACGATATTTTGTCATGAATTCTGTTCTTGTCTACAATGTCAGAGAGTGTCCTTTGTTGAATATGCTTATAGACTAAGATGAGTGACACAGGCTTAGCCTCTAGTTTAATATACCTTATAAGTTTGTGGTTCCCATCTATATGCCACAATGAATTTGGTCCAGCAACTTTATATGTCCTCCTATGAACATTTTGTCTTTCAATTGATCTCAAAGCACAGCAAACAGGATCAACTCTGTGGCAAGCATCTCTGACACGTTGGCGTGAAATATCAGTATTGTCCATGGCAAGAAGAATCCGTATTGAGTTTGGACCTATTCTTTTATTGGTTCCAATTATGTTCTTGACTTTATCATCCAATTCCTCGTTTGAGATAATAGTTTCCTTTCCTTCCCTTAACTTTATGTTAAACTCTGAAAATAATTTTAAAGATCAAATGAATGTACAATTTAAACTTAATAATGTAAAAATTTATGTCACTTTGGTTTAAATTGACTTCACAGTTGAATAATGAATAATTTAATGAATAATTAACCTCTCCAATGAATAATTTCCTCCTTCACCCTGAATGTCATGACTAAACAGCAGTATTCCTTCTACGAAAGACAGAGTCCAAGTGGTTCCTTGCGACTTCATTATTTCATGAGTTACATATTTCATATCCTCTTTTGGTCAACTGAAGCGAACACAAATTCAATCAGGTTTCTTATTTGTGTGGCCATAATAGTTCTTTTATATATGAAGTGAATTTTTTTTAAATATTATTTTAAAGATGTTTAACACAAAGGATAGGATTTATAATAAATGCACATTATCACAAGACAACAACTTTGTTTAACAAAATTCATGATGGGTTATATATGCAAACCTGAGTCTCCTGCGAATAGTGGATTCTGATATTTGAAGTGTTTCTGCCATTAATGGAGCTGTAAATTTGTACTTCGCTAGGAATACCAATTGATCCTTTGATATATCCAATTTTGGTGCTCCAGCAGTTCCAAGATGTGTCCTCTTTGTTTTGAATGCTGTTATATCTTTAAAAGAAAATGTATATACAGAGTGAAATAATGAAAGGAAAAAAACCCAAATACAGCCTTTATTACAGGTACTAAGCATAGTATTGTTATATTTTGAATACAGATTACACAGCTGTTTGACGATGTCGAAGGCTGCTATTGAGCATGATATTAAGGTCCATATTTGGATTTGTTTTTTATCAACAAGTATATTTTCTTCACAAAATGTCATAAATGTAATGTATATCATAATATTCAATGTCTATATATATATATAAATAGGAAGTACTCTCAGATCTGTACTCACTCAGTGGTTTTTTTTGTTGGAATGTACAGTCATACAAGATGGAGAACAATCAGAAAAAATCGGGGTAACGTCTGTAGTGCCTTTGGGCGCCGTCCTTGGCTAAATTTTCTAAAACGTTACCTAAAAGTATCATCCAAACAAATAAACGAAAGGGCATACAGACCTAAGCTTGAGTACAGCTCTTGTGTCTGGGCATTTTCGAAAGTTAGCAGGTATGGATTGGGGTATCGCTTACATGTTTAACACCGCCACATTCTGTATGTATGTGCCTGTCCGTACTCAGGAGCCTGTAATTCATTGTTGTCGTTTGTTCCGGTGTTACATATTTTGTTTTTCGTTTATTTTTTTGTACATTAGTTACGCCGTTATTTTTCTCTTAAGAATTGTTTTACATTTGTCATTTCAAGGCCTTTATTCAGCTGTTTAAGGCTGACTAGGCGGTTTGAGCTTGGCTTATTGTTGAAGGCCGTACGGTGACCTATAGTAGTTAGTTTCTGTGTCATTTGGTCTCTTGTGAAAAGTCGTCTCATTTTGGCAATCATACCACATCTTCTTTTTTATATAAAAAATATTGTTCTCTTGCTTTAGCATTCGACTTTTTTTTCGTCTTGTCAAAGTAGATAAGAACAGGTTTTGTCTATTATTATGCACTGTACCTGTGCATTCATTTCAGGATTTGAAGGATTTTTCGTGGATTGAATATTCATTTCCTTCTTGCAACGCATGCTATTTTTTTTCCCACGAGTTGTTTCCTGCATTTTGTGTTGCAGACTAGTCATTCCTTTTCATTTTCAATCTGTCATGTTCAATTTTATTCACAATTAAGCACTCCTCTGTCACCACCAGAAAAAAATAAAATTGTCGTCCCCTATCACTAAAACATTCCGTCATAAATATGATTAATGGCTATGCATGGTTTAAGTATTTCAGTTATTCTTTTCTAAAGATGTAAACAATTATTCCTTAATACGGGGCTCAGCATAGAACTAATACTTATCACAGTCTATATATATATATATGTAAAATTGTGTTGTCTGTCCTTGTGTTTTTTGTAAATTGCAAATGTGTAGCAGTCAAAAAATCATTGCAACCCATTCAACGGATTAGCCAATGACTTGGCGGGAATATTTGTATGCCTAAATTATACATAACCATATAAGGTAGTTTACCGAACATGTGGATTGTGGCAAACCAAGCCAAGGTTTTTTAAAGAATTTTCACAGACTTTATTACAATAATGTTCGTTATAAAATTTAAAACATAGATATCTCTTTTTTTAAATGGTGTGCTAGCGTTTACTGTATAAAAAACAACAACAACTTTACAATACAGAAAAAAACCTGCATCAAAAAGGTAGAAGGTCACGGTGTTTCAATGGTCCATGAACTAATATCTTTATCTAATAATTCGGAAATAATTGCTAGCACTACATGCTTTAGATGAATTCCCTATCTAAGAACAGTATTGTTCATTATAAAAGTACAAAAGTAAAATCTGCGGATTCTCTATAAAATTTCAGATGTTAAGAGTGAAACTACAAAAGGGTGCATAATCCTTAAGCCGAGAGACCTTCTACTGACTGTACTTACCACTACTAGCACTTAAATGATTATTTGAAGTTCTATCGATTTCGTCGTTCATTTTATTAACAATGGATATGAGGTCATTTTTCTCATCATCAGATATCAATATGCCACCAGCTCTGTTTATATCTCTAGATAATGTAAGCATCCTACAACGCAGTAATCAACAATATAATGGTATAGTCGAGAAAAAAAACATGTCATCCTGAACCAAATACATGATATCCCAAAGAATGTATAGGCAAATTTAAAAAGTATACTAGTGATACTATACGCCTATATAAAGTTGCACCAAAAATCAGTTAATTTTCTTCTGATTCTGCTCCTCCTTATAATCTTGTACGTACCACATTTTTTTTCATATTGAAGAATCAGCTTCATTGTAAAGTAGTATTATTATAACTTTCAATTTTCCTTAATGTTTGGTCTCTGATTGAAGTTACATTGTAATAGTTTTGATAAAAAGTACAACTTCACTGTCAACAATTTTCATCTTTATACAGTAAATGACTATATCATTTTGTATAAAGCTGTAATATGATATTACCACAACAACACACATTTTTAAGAGTGGAGTATTGTATTGTAGTTTTATATTTGTTACCTTAATTTCAAATTGTCAATGATCTGTGGTGTCAGCGAATCTGAAGATCCTAAACGTGCACAGTAATCTATAGTTGATTGTACCTGTCGCAAAAAACGTTCCTTATCCGATTCGGCCATCTTAAATATTTCTGTTTTAACTTTGTTTAGAAAAAACCGCAGAATCATGCAGAAATCTCCATTGTTAAGTGGTTTTTGATTGGTCAGTACAACTCCCAAAAGTATCTAGATACTTAAAAGCAAATTGAAAAGTATTTGTATTCAGTTTAACTATTTCCATCTAGGTAGGTAGTCATAGTAACTAGATGCTTGTTTAAACTATCTAGATACTTGTGTGAAGCATCTAGATACTTGTGCGAAGCATCTAGATACTTGTGTGAAGCATCTAGATACTTGTGCGAAGCATCTAGATACTTGTACAAAGCATCTAGATACTTATGCGAAGCATCTAGATACTTGTGCGAAGCATCTAGATACTTGTGCGAAGCATCTAGATACTTGTGCGAAGCATCTAGATACTTGTGCGAAGCATCTAGATACTTGTACAAAGCATCTAGATACTTATGCGAAGCATCTAGATACTTGTGCGAAGCATCTAGATACTTTAACGAAGCATCTAGATACTTGTAGGAAACATCTAGATACTTGTGAGAAGCATCTAGATACTTGTAGGAAGCATCTAGATACTTGTGCGAAGCATCTAGATAACTTGTGAGAACCATCTAGATACTAATTAAAAGTAACTAGATGCTTTCAAGTAGTATCTAGATGGAAAAAGGTATCTAGATAGTTCGCTAAAGTATCTAGATGTATCTTACAACCATCTAGATACTTATACGAAGCATCTAACTCCCAAAAATTCATTTCAGTGTGGCTTTCCCCAAGTTATTACCTTTCATTTGAGCCAAGTCCAGTGGCGAACTTTACCGTACAGCGCTGGCGAGGCTTACCGAAAGAATATAGAGTGTATACATATTTTTTTCCTTAACAGCAACTTTGAACCCCAACAATTTCCGAATGGGCCTAACTCCCAAAAATTCATTTCAGTGTGGCCTTTCCCAAGTTGTTACCTTTCATTTGAGCTATGTCCAGTGGCGAACTTTACCGTACAGCGCTGGCGAGGCTTACCGAAAGAATATAGGGTGTATACATATTTTATTCCTTAATATCAACTTTGAACCCAAACAATTTCCGAATGGGCCTAACTCCCAAAAAATCATTTCAGTGTGGCTTTCCCAAGTTATTACCTTTCATTTGAGCCATGTCCGGTGGCGAACTTTACCGTACAGCGCTGGCGAGGCTTACCGAAAGAATATAGAGTGTATACATATTTTTTTCCTTAACAGCAACTTTGAACCCCAACAATTTCCGATTGGGCCTAACTCCCAAAAATTCATTTCAGTGTGGCCTATCAAGAGTTATTACCTTTCATTTGAGCCATGTCCGGTGGCGAACTTTACCGTACAGCGCTGGCGAGGCTTACCGAAAGAATATAGGGTGTATACATATTTTATTCCTTAATAGCAACTTTGAACCCCAACAATTTCCGAATGGGCCTAACTCCCAAAAATTCATTTCAGTGTGGCTTTCCCCAAGTTATTACCTTTCATTTGAGCCATGTCCGGTTGCGAATTTTACCGTACAGCGCTGGCGAGGCTTACCGAAAGAATATAGGGTGTATACATATTTTATTCCTTAATAGCAACTTTGAACCCCAAAAATTTCCGAATGGGCCTAACTCCCAAAAAATCATTTCAGTGTGGCTTCCCCAAGTTATTACTTTCATTTGAGCCATGTCCAGTGGCGAACTTTACCGTACAGCGCTGGCGAGGCTTACCGAAAGAATAAAGAGTGTATACATATTTTTTTCCATAACAGCAACTTTGAACCCCAACAA